TGCATTACACCAAACCATCGTCTGGTAGTGAATTACTTACGGCCGATCCGACTAGTTGAGATCCGAATAGCTTAGTACCTTTAGACTTTTCCAGATTCTTTGTAATTTGTGTCCATGTCTTTTTATTCCATTTTTATTTTTTCCTTACGTTCTAACTACAGGAAATGTATCTTTTACTATTCTCTTGTAAACGTTTGCTGTCATACATAATTTCACTTTCCTTTATTAGATCAATGATGTTATGCTTATTTGAAATTTGAAACAGAGATTAGGATACTACTGATGATGTGTTAGAAATACTGAAAACGATGTGATTTTTCAAAAAAGTCGACGCGTAAAGTTAAGTGGAGGACTCAGGGACAGATACTATTTTACGAATTAGTAACAACATGAAATTAAAAAACATGGTTATCCGAAATTCATAGAGCGGGAAGTATGGCACATGTCTTGGATATTTACAATAACCTAGAGGTGCCGCAGATATTTAGGGTTTTACAACACTTTTGTCCGTTATACCCTCATAATCGAAGGAGTCAGAAATAAAGAGGTTCGAGGATATGTTTGGAAAGCTATTTATATGTCCAGAAGTGTTTGGTCCATGCTGGTTAGTAGCTGTAATTGATGAGTAGCACGGCACACCCAGCCGTGATCTGGTGAGGATGCGTGACCATGCGTCTTCGTCTGGAGTGTGCACAGTAGGACTAATGAGGTCAGCGTTAGCGTTCAAGAATCATGGAATTATTTATTTTGACGATTTATTTACCGCTACAGACCTAACCAAGATATTACTACATGAGAAGTAATAATGTTTAAAACAAATATCAATATTTAAAACTGGAGTGGCAGAGTGTAAATAAAAAGCATGGCGAAAATTTCAACACCCTTAAGCAAGTTATATATTGAAAGACAAAGTAGTAACGACGGTCATATTATGAATATTACTCGTAAGTTGTTTTATAAGGTAAAACCTTAAAAAGTATAAGCTAAATTGGTAAATATCACGTTAAGAGCTTGGTAGTGTCGGTATGAAGATAAACACAAATCTGATTGCTTTATTGTGAAGGAACTCAAGTTGATTGTTCCATGTAGTGTAAAGCACTCTCAAAGGGTATTAGAACACTCATTATCTTTAATCAACAACGCAAAAAAGGAAAGATGTAGGCTGTAATTATGTGAACGCCAAAAGTAACGGAAGTAGTAATTAATTACAAGTAGAGTTTATTCGCAACTGCTTCAAATAAATAGTAGACATTGAATATAAATATGACGATGTCATACAAAAGAGAAGAAATGCATTTAATTGTAGTTATAAAAATTAATAAATGTATATATCACGATACACTTATCAGGAGGAAAATCACTTGTCAATAATTCTTTTAACAAATACCGCATTCACGAAATTTTAAAATGAACTTCAGTTCTTGGGAATTCCAAGCATCTTATGTGTAATAAAATATGGAGTTTCTAGAATTAATCAACATGTATGATGTCTCATAAATGTTACTACAGGATATAATCCCAAAGTATGCGCAAAAAAATGGTCACTACTCACTCTGTATGAAACGATACTAACAAAGAAGAAGTTCAGGATTTAAGAAAGTGAATTTAGTTTTCTGAACAATAAATACTGTAAAAAAGATTCTCAAAAATCAACTATATATCAACGAGATGACAAAACAGGTGTAGTTCTCAAAAAATTAGTTTTAAAATGATTAGATAATGGTATAGAGAATTGAAACAATATTCACGCTTAAGTCACGAGTTTCTCCGTCGTTAGTAAGAAGCACAACTTTCACCAGTAGAATTCTGAAGTAGGATAATAATCATTGGTTACTGACGGGATTTTCCTGAAATGTTTATAAACGATGTGCGACAACATTCATTGGCGTGACATCAAACTGAAAACGGAATGAATTATCAGTGTTTCATATATTATCTTTCTTAGATGATGGACACATTAATATGTCGATTTCGCGGTCACTTAAGGCTACTGATAATGATTAGAATTGCTCAACTTTTATACAAGAAACGTATCTTATGTGTAACAATAATTTACAGAAAATCAAATCACAATGTACTTGATAAATGATTAGTAGATATCAATATTCTCTCATAAGATGAATCATGTTAAAGAGTAGTTTAGTGACTAAGCGTGATAATTATATCAAGAATTTAACAATACTTCAACACAAACCTGATAAACTGTGCGTTTTTATTTGTTTAATGTTTGGTTAGCTAAAATAAGTAGATTACAATCGATTTAATTACTAGATCAGACTCCCTGTACTTTTGAAAAAAAGGTGAATTATCAACATATAAATTAAAGTTATGCAAAAGAGTTTTAGTTCAAAGCCAAGAAACAATGATTCCTCAAAACACACCGTAACATGCAACGCATACACAAAAACCTTTTACCCGGGATTTTTTACCATGTTCTTAAAGTGTTAAAATGTATGACACATTGAGAATGAGTCAACAATTACAGGTCAAAACAAAGCTTCAGCTGAAAACATCATAGTTACTTTAAACTACTGAATTGGACAACTCATTCAGCCTGTTGCCTGCATAATTTTAAAGCTCATGTTTTAGTTAAACTCATTCAGTTTCTTTTGAACTGATAATCCAGCCAACGATCAAATACAGAAGGGCAAGTTACATTTAAAATACTAAATTGACAATGACTTGTGTTTGATAAATATTTTGAATGAACTGATGTTAGAAAAATCAAATACTAGATGCTAACACGGTGGTTTAAAATTGGTCCTGAGTTTGGTCTATGATACGGTTGTAGGGGTACACTCATGAGAAGTTCTAAACTGAGGCATAAAGCTGTTCGGTGCTCTTCAGTCTTCACTGATTCCCAAATTAGCGCTATTTAATGTCGAAAACTATCATTAAATTGAACAAAGAATCATAAAACAATTTAACTCAAAGAAATTCGTTTCATATATAAATCAATATTTACGACCTCATGTATACTGATTTGTTATTTCTTCAAACTTTTAATATTTCTAATTATCATCAAGTGGATAGCATTAATTTTTCTTTACAAACAAAGCAACGAAATTTGAAAAATAATAATCTTTACTCTTTAGACTTCAGTTTCATAAATAATTTAATTCAGAGTTCATTCATCATATATTTTTATAAAGATGACTAAAAATTGACGTGATATGAATCAATACATTTATTGTTTATAGATGAATAATTATTAATAACAAGATTTTGTTAACTTATTTTGAGCAAGTAAATGATTTATATCATGCCCAAAGTTTTCTTATAAGTTGATTATTTATAATATAGCTAACTATTTATTGACTTATAACTGATTAAACTCTTTTTCCTTTCTATACAATAGGATGAAACAGCCGTCTAGTGCTTTCAGGTTTTCTATGGTGGTTTAGCTTCAATCGACTCATGATCTCAGCTATTGAAATTATTATAATATCCACAAAACCCCATCTAATACTAATCAACATATGCTCACTAGTGACTGGCTTCAAGAGGTGTATCCTGAAGTTCTAGTGAGAAGCAGTGACCAGTGGAATTCAACCGGATCAGTTGTGAGATAGTAACTCATTGATGACAATGGTGGATGTGTCGCTTAATTTCGTGGATTAGTTGAAGTTAGACATCAACACCGTTGGATGCCGGTTCAGTGGTCTAATGGTTAACCGCTCACGCACGAGACTGATAGGTCCTGTACTCCACAATAGGACGAAACGGCCGTCTAGTGCTTCCAGGTTTTTTATGGTGGTCTATCTTCAATTAACTCATGATCTCAGCTATTGAAATTACTACAATCTCCACAACACTTCTTCGGATAAATTCTCATTAATTAGTCCTATCTCTACGATATAAATATTCAACGTGCCTAATAAATAAAGTGCTCAACGTCTAATAGTGATCAGTTATTCATTGGTCTATTTAAGTATACATAGTGTTTCTAGGAGTAGTAGACAAATGTTAAAATCAATCTTTTTTAATAATGCTGAACTGAATGTTTTCGACCTACTTTAGTCTGAATATCTTGCTCTTTTCAAAATGATAAAGGGAACTGTGTGTATGACATTTTTTATACCATTGTTTTTAACGACATTTTACAGTGGTCATAGCTAACGAAGAAATACAATCATTTCACGAATAATTTCTTTCATTATAATAAATGGTAAAACAGATAGGTAAGAAAAACACCATAAAATACATATGACAGTCTATTGTTTGGTATTTACCGTTGTCTAATCATTAAATAATTTAATACTAACTAAACACTGGTTAAAGGCAATGAGATGAATATCATAAACGTACTTATTTTACACAATAATAATTCTGTGAATAATGTATAGAAAGTCACGAAAAGATGTGTTATTTTCTCTTCTTCTTATTCATTGATAAAGATAATAAATTAAATTATTAGAAGTTATCGAATCTAAACATATAATCGAAAAAGGCCATAAGATTGATCTTAACTCGGCTTTTGTGGTGTTGTATAAAAGTGTAAAAGGGCGTATACTAAGGTTTATTGACGCCTTAGCCTTACGAAAATTCAAACCCCCTTTGTGTATTCAAAAACAGTTTGTTCTCACCTTTAACCTACCCTGGTAATATTGACTTATTATTCAGAGTGATTAGGTTTTGAATTGTGTTCAGATTATTATTATTATTATCCTTATCTCCTCTTACCTCATCTCCAGTCTAGTTGACCTTTTATTTTTATATATAAATGCTCTTAACAAGTATGTGTGTGATCAGATTGTTCGAAATGTATTGCGCTAATACATCACATAGTTCTGATAATCTCCGTCTACTTATTACATTATCGAAATTTATCAAATCTGTATTTGATTATTTCCTAAATACAAACAATCTAAAAAATAAGCATACAATAAACTTTTATTACTTTATTATATTATTCAATTCTAACTAACTTTTAACAGTGAATTCAATAATAATCTATACATTAACATATACAAAATATTTGTTATAATTTATATAAAAATTGGTTATTTACAATCAAACAAAAAAATTTATTTTTTTCTTTACAAATAGAGATAATACATTCAGAATAGTTTGTTTTTTTTTTCTTAAAAGAAAACTTTGCTTAAATGAATATTGAATAATTCCAATAGGTATATTCTATTATGTAATATAAAATGAAACTATCATTGAATTCATTTGTATAAATATGAAATTATTATTTTTACATAATTAAATGAATTTAACAACAACAACAACAACATTCTAAATATGATTCACCCCGTAACATATTTTGAGCACATGTCCATGGCCATTGTATTACTTTTAATAAACTTTCTGTACATTCAGTTAATTTTTCTGAACATGGATTACAAATAATTAATAATATATATATCCATGATAAACATAATGATATAGGTATAGCAAAAATAATTAATGTTATAAACCATAATACACTATTACAATGACGTTTAGATTTAGAAGACATAAAATTAAAACTAAATATTGTTTTTTTTTCAAATTTTGAATTATTAAGTTAATTGATAAATTAATATGATTAGATAAATTATTCGTTCAAAAATAAATCAATAGACACATGTGATTGGACAACAAATCTTCTGTTAAGATTATAATAGTTAAATCACCTGATATATATACCGGTCACGTAATCAATAATTTGATGATATATATATATATATATATATATATATATATATATATATATATATATATATATATATATATATATATATATATATATATATATATATATATATATATATATATATATATATAGTCAAATATTTCTTTAATAAACTGTTGACATATAAGTACTTTATACCTTATATAAAACTTATGTCCTTTTTATCCATATAACTAACTTATTGTACTTTAATAAAAGTTAATTTAGTCAACATGAAAAAAACTGTTTCGATGCACAAATTATTCAAAAACAAAAATCAATAGGAAACACTATAAATTAATAAGTATTAATAATAATCTTAAAAAACTTATATAAAACTGAAAAATATGTAAAAATATTTTTAAAAAATCATTATTTTCAAATAAATTCTATTTAATGTCAAAATGTAATTGTATTTATTTTATTATTTAATTTAATTGGTCAATTCGATAAACTTTTAGTCATTTTTTTTTAATTTTGAGAATTCACTTTATTATTTGAGCTTTTGCTTTCCATTTTTTTTAAGAAAAACTTTTGTTTTCTATCTCATAAAATAAACAATAATTAAATGTCCAATTGTATTTGTGGGGCCCGTTATTTTGTCTACATTTAGATCGAACGATGTTTGTTAACGGGCTCTCCACTTTAGTGGCCCGTAATTTGACTCCAAGTAGATCGCATGAATGATCGTTGTCGAAATATATATGTCGCCTATCCTCGTATATAATCATCGACTTAAATCGCGTTAGTCAATAACGGAATTGAATATGCCAAATAACAAGAATGGAATTTTGAATACATATGTTTTGTATATAGAGCGAATGGAATAGAACGAAACAAAACGACGTTCAGTGGAGATGGCGGGTAAACCAACTCCTCTTTAACGAAGTGTTAATCAATATTTATAGTCACACAAATATAAGCTACAGACATGTGATGAGTAATGGGATAAAAAGTGTACACACACCCATGCGCTCATATAAAAACAGTGAAGATTGATAAGCGAATAATTAACAAGGTCAGAATGTGACTCAAGTAGAATTAGTAGACTGGCCTGTCCGAAAGCGAGAATAAGGTATATGTGCTTAACGTAATTACTGACACTACATATTCGTACCATTGTAAATTCTATGGAGAGTAATATTTTAAAATTGATACTAGTTTAGTGATCGATTAAGAAGTTAGATTTTTAAAAGATGATTATTTAAGCCCATGTAAAATAGATATGTAAAAGATAACTGCCTAAATAGAAAATGTGAGTAGAAAACGAAAATGAAGCAGACTTATGATAATGATAGCTCATAAAGTTAGAAGTAGATTGGAACATGTCACTTCCAAAAAGAAATGTAAGGCTTGAATCGATAAAGTTCTAAGCTTCGTCCGCGTAAAACGTTTTAATTTTAACTTCTTTGAACTAGATTCCTTGGCTTAGGGATAAATGCTGATCCTTTTAGAGATAGATGACTAAAACAGTTCATAAGTTATTAATAATTCAGTTTGCAAATTACATAGTTTTATAATAGACCATGATCTACTTTATTAAACTTGCTCGTAATTTTTACTTTTCTAACTTACAACTCGACAAATGTCGGTGTTTCGATTGCATTCTTTGAAGAAAGTAAAAGAATAAAATCTTATATTTCAATTATTGTAAATTGTTTCCCATTTCCCAGATATTTTGAATGTGAATACATCATATGTTGACTTAATGAGTATATATATTTTGACAAAACTTTTAAAAGAACATAATTATGATCGCTTAAATACTATCAGGATTTTATTCAGTTTTGAATATTAATCTAATGTTTACTTTAGTTTGTTATTGATTATCAGTTAAATTAGTTTGTAGTTGTTATTAAGGAACTTCAATATAAGTCGTGAACATTGCAGTTACTGTTTATTATGTTTATAAATTGAGCAACCCTTCCCGTAGAAAACAATCTTGCTAAAATATCACTAACCAGAATAAACAATTTAAATAATTTAAACTCCCTCCTGGAAGTTGAAGGATCATCATTCAGAAGAATTATGACATCTCATGGTGGAAGCCGAGATTCTTCGCAAATTATGAGGTCGAGGTCACTTCTGACAACCTGAGCGACAATTGATATAAGTACATGTAATGTTCGGACAATGTAGGAGACCTGGATGATCAATCAAATACCTACAGAAACAAGGCGATACAACTTGACGGTTTCCGAAACAGGTAAAACCCATTGGACACAAGCTGGACAGCAAAGGCTAGATACGGGAGAGATGCTGCTATACTCCGGTCATGAAGAGGAAAATGCTCCGCACACTCAGGGAGTTGCTCTAATGCTGTCCAAAGTAGCACAAAATGAACTTGCTGGATGTGAATCTCACGGATCCACAATCATCAAAGCATCATTCAAAACAAAGAAGGAGGGGATCACAATGAACATCATCCAATCTTATGCACTCACCAATGATAGCAACGACGACATTAAAGATCAATTCTATGAGAGACTGCAATCAATCATAGAGAAGTGCCCAAGAAAGGACCTCACCATTCTGATGGGAGATCTAAACGCCGAAGTCGGAATGTACAACACCAGATATGAAGACATCATGGGACGACATGGACTGGGAGAGAGGAACGAAAACGGGGAAAGATTTGCAAATCTATGTGTATTCAACAAAAGTTATAAGCTGCACAGTATCCCCCCACAAACGCATACAGAAAGCTACATGGTTCTCACCGGCCATACTACAGAGAACCACATCGACCATATTTGTTTCACTAAAAAATTCAGAAGGTCAATGGAAGACTTGCAGACAAAGAGAGGAGCTGTCATGACCCCAGATTACTACCTAGTGGCTATCGAGATGAAAATTAAGCCAAAAGACCACTAAAAAACTTGAAAACAAGCATTACAAATGTTTGATATAATTTTCCTTCGATATACTGACAAACTAATCGAATTCAAGATAGCTCTCAATAACAACTTCAAAGCCTTACAAGATCTACTCAAAGAAAAGGAAACTACTATGGTGCACAACCGGAAAGTAATCAAAGAAGTATTTAGTTTAACATGTCAGGAGGTGGTTGGCCACAACAAGCATCATCATAAAGAATGGATTTCCATCGAAACCCCAGACAAGAATCAAGGGCGGGAAAGCAGCAGGACCTGACAATATACCTGCTGAAACACTGAAGTCACATATAGAAGTAACTGAAACATGCTCCACGTTCGATTTAGGAAGATTTGGGAGAAAGAACAAGTGCTGGTGGACTGGAAGGAAGGACACTTCATCAAAATACCAAAGAATGGAGATATGAGCAAATGTGAGAACTATACAGTCATCACATTACTATCGGTATCAGGGAAAGTCTTCAATAGAGAGTCTCTGAATCAGTGGGCCTCAATATACACAGGAGAAAAACCTAGAGTTTAAAAATACAACACGGTGAACCCCAACCCAAACACACTTGATAGGGAAGCTGTGTAACAGGTAGAAACTTTCACGTTCCTGACTTGTCAGCATCATTGATGAACAAGAAGGATCCAATGCAGACATAAATTTATGAATTGGAGAGGCAAGAACAGCACTTCTACAACTGAAGAACATATAGAACTCAGAACAACTGTCAACCAATATGAAAGTCAGAATTTTCAAGACGAACGTTAAGACAGTTCTATTGTACGAAGCTGAAACTTCGAGAACTACCACGATCATCATCAAACATGTACAATTATTTCTAAACAATTGTCTACGTAAGATACTGACCGGATACCTTCAGAAACAGCCTACTATCGGAGAGAACAAACCAGCTCCCATTGTACTAAACATTTAATTTAATATACACTTTAATTCAATCAGCAATGTAAATCATTGATGAGTTTATGAAAGTTAATAAAAAGTGATGCGATTTATGGAGAATTATAACTGCTATGAAAAGTTGAGGATGTTAACCAGTGAAATGTGGACCGCATAGAACTATGAATAAATTGATACCCTTTCAGAGCATCTTATTTTACATCAGTAAAACTGGGGGAGATCGACATATCAAAAACAATGGATTGGTAATCGTAATAGTTTCGACAGTAACAGAAAGCTGACAATAGGAAGTATTTGGTCAATAGGAACTTGTAATGAACGACAAAATATTACTATACAAAAGACAGGAAAAAGAATTAAAGTGATGTTTCATTGTTATTGAGCCTAACTGGAAATCCTCAGTGAGTCGCCCTGTCATATGCTTAACTTTTAAAATTAGATAGAATGAACAATAGAACACTATTTAAACTCAAGATAAGTGATTATATTGATAAGTGGTAACTTAATGGTTAGCGTTTTTTTAGCGAGTTAGTTTTCTACGGGATGGGGTCGCTAACCCCATGCCCAACCCTCCTCCTTTATCCGGGCTTGGGACCGGCAGTAGCCCCCGGAAAGGGACTCCAGGCGGACAGATCATTTTGTTAACATAGGAAATGAATATCAACTGGAAACTAATGAATTTTAAGGCAGTTTTGGACTAAGATAAAGAAAAGTAAACATCAAAAGTGATAGGATTGATTAAGAAAAAAGGAAATTTCCTATCTTTTCTTTATTAACCGCCATCTTTCTGTCAGTCATGGAGTTATTTCTTCTGTAGGAGTGGCTTAGTATTCGATTTCACTCATTAGACTGTAGTATAGAACCCTGATTTCCCTACTTATGTTTGTATGGATGAATACTGTCACTAGTACTTAAGCAAGAACAACTTATGGCTTAACTTGAATGGATAGATATGTAGTCGGGTAAAAAATCTATATTATCCGATGCAGTCCAACATTCAGATATAGCGTACACTGAATATAATGAAATCT